GCGGTAGTGGTTCGGTAGATTTTCGGATTGCAGTCTCAGTGCATTGTAATGCTAATTGAAGTGGAATACTTGTGAACAGTGATTTCACATCAAATGACACTAGTTTGTAGTCGTCAGGTATCTGAACAACAATCACTCACTTGACTCTGATGATGACTTCCGCACAGGTTGTCGAAACGTCAGTCACTGCCACCGACAACAGTCCTTCTCAGGACTACACTCACCCGGACGATCAGACTACACCTTCACATGTTACCCCCGGGTTCAAACCATTTACTGCATTAGAACACATGGCGAAATGTGGGCGGGTCAGCAAAAAAAACCCAGCAGTGGTGGCGAGACAAAGGGCACTCAAAGAAATTCACGACGGAGAAAGTCACCAGACCCTAGCGAATCAAAGGACTTGACAAGGAGAACAATAGCTCAGCACGTGTGTTTTCGACCTTTCTACATTTTCAGGTCCTTTTCGGCAAAACCACATCAAATTACCAAATTCGCGTGGTCTATGAACGGAAACTCAAACAGCGAATTACCGGTATTTACGTTTTATATGAAAAAAAAAAAACTTCTGTGATATGTCATGCTGTCAAAGACGGCGGAAAGAGTTTCCCACGACCCCGTACCGTTTTTAAACAAACCATTTGTGCCAGGAGTAAAACTATCGTTATTGGCCTTTTTCTTTTTTGTTTATAACAGAACTGTTTGCATTATGAGTAATGGGGCTATGGAATTCTTGCCGAGACGGCTTACACTTTTAACCGTTGTGATATTATCAAGAAAAATGGGAATTCATTCACGTTTCCATCAGCGTTGCCGCCCTGACTGCGTATGGTCTGGAAAAAGTCTGGCACTTTCCAGGCTATTCCACGATTCGGTGATTTTCGTTATCTATGCGTTATTGACCAAGATTGATGTCAAGATGGCTGGATATTGGCCGAGTTCTTTTTATGCGATTTTATGGACTAAGACGAAGTCTTCTTGATAATCATCAAGAAAATATTATCGAATAGATTTAGAAACTAACAAAAGATCACATGAACTGCGTATATAGTTTTCCTTTTACTCAAGGAGTTAATTGTTAGTTGCACTGTGAACAGTCAATACCAAGGCACATTGAGGTATTAGAGAAACTAGTTCTTTGTTTTTTTCCACTATGATGCACAGGTTTTCGAGATATTTCTTTAGAAGTAACCTAATGCTTTCGTTCAGCGGGACACGTCTCAATCCTTTCTTGGAGACGAACGGGAGACTAACAGATTATATCTGTCTTTTAGGCGGTAGGTTGGATTACTCATCATCATCACAACATTTAATGTGTTACCAAATTTATTGAGCAAGGTTCACATGCTTGACAATTATGAAAGAATGATGATGGTTGCTCGTCATAAGGATGTTGCAATTTTCTGAGAGCCTTCATAGCGGCTGAAAAGAAAAAAAAAAAAACAGCAATAAATAATGGTAATTGAATTGAGTGTAGTGCAAAGTTTGGTCTGAAATTATACGCGTGAAGTCAAATTCATAGAGCTCAGCGTCACCTTAATTTTGATTAACCAAGCCACCATGAACAGAGAGCATGGAATCTTACCGCACTTTCTCCAGGGTAGAATTAATCTTCTCGTGGAGTTGCGTTCTAATTTCTTCATCGCCATGAATGCCAAGCGCCTCTTCAGTAAATCTTAGCAAGCCATCCTTTTCATCCTGAAACGAATGTTTTGTAATGAACTGTTTCCTTTCGCTTGGGGTAAGAAAGGGAGGGAGAGATTCCGAGAAAATACAACTACGCGAAAACTGGTCTACAAAAGGCTACTCTGAAGATACAGGAGCCGTGAATATCAGCCAGATGGAATGTTGCTGAGAGTGCATTTCGATAGTGTGTAGCGAACTAAAACGACCAAAACCAAAATAAAAAATATGGTCAGTCAAAATAATCTTAAATGTCACAAAGAACGAATGGGTGCCCATAGTAAAACAAACAAATTACCGGAAGCGAGTGAAAACGTGAGATACCAAGCGACATGATTGTTTAAAAGAGAAGTTAGAGTTTCGAGACGAATCGCAGACCCATCGTAAAGCCGTGAATCAAATGTATACAATTCTGTAGGACTTCAAACCCCCTTATATTTAACAATAACGAGCTTAAGATCCGACGACGGCAGACATCTGGGACGGCAGACTTGGTCGAGGGGGCTTGGAGAGAGATCGCCGTTGCATTGGCACGAAAAATAGCCTTAAGATAAAGCGCGCGACGGCGGCTTGACTCGCTTTCCTCTTCGAAGTTTAGGAAAAGCAATGGCTACCTATAGAAAGGTTCGTGGATTGTTGATCGAACGTTTCGATGATGGTGACATTCAGAAGATGAATTTTTACTGTTGAATGATGCCAGCATTTCAATTAATCTCGATTATCCCTACCAGAATTCAAACATTTTGACTAAGAAGGACTCGACGGAAGTGAGTGCTTGGCAGAAATTCGTTACCGAAAAAGGGACATACCTATTCTCGCAGACGTAATGGGGCT